AACCTCTTCTAACCGGTTCGGTAGATTTGACGAACCAGTTCTACCGAACTGGTGCGAACTGGTAGGAACCCACCTCTGCCAGCAGTCCTAATTAAGTTCATGGTAGCTATGAAAATGGCTGCCATTCTAGCCATTCTTCCTAGCTGCCTAAAACGACAAGGAAACAAAGAGTTGTAAAAGAGCTTTTTTTTATAAACCATCAAAAGGGGCATCCATTTAAACATTCTCATTTTGAAAACGTGAGTCTGTTTCAGATTCTGCTCCTTTATTTGAATAAATGAAAAGCCTCCACCTCCGGTAGTTGTCATCTGTGTTGAACCATGATAAGCTGCTTGACATGTTAATATTCACTCACAGCCACCCATATAGAGATCCTGAGAAGATGTCCAGAACATGGCATGCTTCTTGTCTGATGTTTTTGTGGGGAATTTGAGCTATGGGATATAGTTGAGCAGGACGGACAGGTTCAAGGACAATTGCTTGAGCATATGGGGTGTTTCCATCAACCCTATGAATAGGGCAATGATGGTAAAACCTATGAAATGCATGTCAGAACTAATGTCATGGCATTTTGGTGACACACCAGTGTTCATCAATCTCTAACAACAACTATTCTCAAAAGCATACCCTGTTCTCACACAATCTCCTGAAAATGAGTTTTTACTCTTTTTTTTTCGTAATTGCTTCTTCCTTATATAATATATGGAATCACATGTGATTGGAATGTATTTTTTTAAATAAATGAATATATAAAGAATTTGTTTCTCTTCTGTTTGAGGACAGGGCAGTGCCACACCAGCAGTGCCAAGTTAGGTGCTTTCTGAATTTTTGACACACTCATCTTATAAGCTTCACCTGTCAGGATTCCAGATAGTACCTAAAAGTAAATCAGAGTCCAAGGTGAAGTATTGCTCAAAAGTTCCAATTTATTAAGAGAGCCATGTTGGCACCTCTGGGAAACCCGAATCTGAAAGCTTCCTGGTTTTCCAACCCAGCTGAAAGTTCAAGATCCTGGCCCCACACCCACAAGTCCATCACATGGTCCAATCTTCCACTGCCATGCTGGCAGCTTCTACCCATCCAGTTCGGGTCAAGTGCAGAGGTGCAGAGACAAATGCCGAGTGAATGTTGCACTTTTATTGTTAATTATTTTTACTCACATTTTCTTTTATGTCTTGTCTTGCACTCCCCTCCCTCATTATTGTAAGCCGCCCTGAGTCCCCTCAGGGAAAAGGTCGGCCTATAAGTGTTTAATAAAACCATTAAAAAAAAACCCATAAAACAAAGGATGACCTTGGCTTTCTAGAAAGAATGTTGTTATGGCTACATGGCATCTAACTCTGTACAATCCCCCTCCCATTTTCCCACAGTTGAAAATGCATA